CCGAGTTTCATGATTGTGCTCGTCTTAAGCTTGGTTTGTTCCTTTGTTAACAACATTGATTCTGTCTTGTAGCTATTTGCTGGTAAATTTTTTCTTTTTTCGACTACATGTCTTGAAGTGTCTAGAAGTCATTTGTTGTTTGTCTAGTGCATTTTTCAAGTATAGATCAGAAACATTGGTTCAATATTGCTTAGTTGTTTTGGGATCAGCTTGACTATGAATTTGTTAAACTTGTTTTGTAGTTTGAGTTGCACTATATAGAAAATAAATCATATGCCTTAGAAATTGGAGATATACCATATATTTTTAAAGTCTAGAACGGGTGGAGAGGGAGCAGTAACTTGTGACAGTCTTTTCTGCTAACTGTTACTAGCAATAACAGAATAAAAGTAGAAGATTTGTTTTTGTGGTATGGACAACTTGTTGAGTTTTGGATATTGTTGAAAGTGAGGCTTGCTTCATCTAAGTTTTAGAAGAATTAGGAGAAGTTAGTGCAAACAAAATGGAGAGAAAGTCTTGTATGATGCTAAAGTCTGACCTATTTGATGAGTTAGATGCAACAGATGAGAAAATAGCTTGTAACTTTCCAATTTCATTACATGTCAAGTTCTTCCATATAAAATAGTAGTAAATGAATTGTAAAGACAGTCTATGGTCAAGTGCTTTTTTCCTCACTGACTTTATGTTTCTCCTTCCTATCGACTTCAATGGTTCTGTCATGCTCCACAAAGTGGTGTTTCTTTTGAGCTTCAGGGGGAAGAGACCTATGGTGGTATCCACCAACATGTTTTCTCTGTGACTTCAGTTGTTTGATGCCTTTCCTTTTAGTCTATGTCAAACTGTGGATATTTCAGTTAGTAGTGAACAGGAATAAGCCTACTGAAGAGCTTAATATACATTTATTCTTTTGTAATTTTGAAGAATAAACATGTTGTAATTTGTACGCTTTCAAGTTTGAAACTTGTGACCATATCTATAAGACTATAGTCTATTCATCTTCGTGATGAAACTAAATAAAAAAATAGTTTTAACATATAAGAATTAACATCAGAAAATAATGTTGTTTTCTTCTTTACATTCCTAATCATAGAGAACCTTCTCACTTTTTTAACTATGTTTATCGGACTCTCCAAATATGTTATTACACCATTGCATATTCTGATAAGTGAACTAGAAATTGGACTCTCCAAATTTGAGTTTCACTAGCTAAGTCTACTTTGTCCAAAAAAGTGAACTAAAAATCATCTTTTAAGACTGCATATTCTGCTATCTCCTGTTGTTCTGTCCTCTTTAATATGAATTTTGTCATACATACATAAAGCTTATACTTCTGTTCCTTCGCATGTTTTAAACTCTTCCAGCCAAGGACCTATTTAAAAATGAGAAATTTGGGGTTGTTCTTTACACTTCTACTCCTCACGATTTTCTTGCTGAATAGTGAATTCAAAAGCTCTAATTAGATGATTCATGCTATGTTACTTACCTAGTACTGATTGGATATCTTTTTTATAGTTTGAAGGTTGATCCACGCTGATCTTACTTGCGACTTGTACCATTTCCATGGATCAGATGAATTGATTGAAAAAAATATAATGAAATATGACTTGACAAGTGTAGCATGTGCTAATGAGATAATCATCTCATTTTGGTATATTGAGGTCAGTTTATTCTCCATGTCTTTATATGTAAACATGAATATATAACTTCTTAAATGTCTTTAATTTATAGGACACATGGTAGAAATAAGGTATTAAACTAGCATCTCTCACTTTTAGGACATGAAGTAACTCATCAAGTATGTAAAGAATACTGAATCAAAATAAGTGATACATACAACAAATATTATCCATTTCCTTTATCAAATTATGTGAAAGTTTCTGCTTTGTCACGATATATGTTAGATATGATATCCATTTCCTTTATACAGTCAATGGCATAGTGACAAAATTTGCTATAGAAAATGTGACGAAGACTAGGATAGTAATTGCAGATAGGGAGATACATATATTGGGATCGTTTTTGAACATTAGGATTGCTAGAGATTCACTTTGTAGTCTCATTATAGGGTCTTCCGCTGGTAAGGTTTATTACAAGGCCAGAGTTGTTATTGCCGAGTCGAGATGCTTTGAATTTTTTTATAGGATGTTTAAGTATCAAAGTTTGATTTTTTTTAAAATTATTGGATCTTTGACCAAGTTCTGTCTTTTTCAAAAGATGAACACTTTAAGAATGGAGTGATTATATGTGTACTAGGCGATGACCATATAATTTTGGTTTCATGGTTATATCTTTGTGTTATCTTATATATGCTAATGTTATATAATTATTCGTACTTCTTATGTGGTTTGTTAGACAATAATATGTATTATTTCAATAAGGTTAGCTAGGTTGCCAGTGCACATTGTGTTTTGAAGACTTGATTTTATTTTTAATAACAGACTTAAACTTTTTGATTGCTTAACTACTCATTTCAGAGCAAATTAGAATAGTTTGAGACCATTTTGTTGGTGTCTATAATTTTCAGAATTATTGTGTGGATTGTTCTGGTCTATGTTTCTTCCCTACTGTACATGCCAGATATGATCATAAGAGTCTGTGTTTCTTCCCACTTTATATGACAGATATGCTCATAAGACAACACATCTGCATAGACATATTTTTTTGTGAAGTAAGAAAGATGTCATTAATAAAGCATCAAGCAGATGCACAGATTACAAAAGAATGATTTTTCTGTGTCAAGCAAACAGTTAACAACACTTATGATAAATTCTACGTAAGAATCCACACTAAATACGGGAGAAAGATAAACACAACATAAAGAGTAATTAAACATCCTACTTTAATGGTAATCCAACTGAAACAAATTTTTCTGTGTCAAGCAAGAGTATTTTAGAATAATCCAACTGAAACAAATAAATTTAGGCCGGTAATGGAGGTTTCATATCGTCATTCTGATGCTTTCATTATTTCACTTAAAGTTATTTCTTTCTACTCTTATGCTTGACCTTTTGAATATCTTTGGACTATGACGCATAATGTTTTTATTGATTGGGTTGGGTGCATTGTAGTTCTTTAGTTTACATTCATTCATGCCGAAATCTTAATAACATGATAACATTTATAAAAAATATTACACTCACAAAACATTCACCACAAAAAGTAAGGATAAAAAAGATCTTTCTTCATGTATCACAGATACAACAGTTCAGAAATATAAAAACTTGTTGTGTCACTAATACAGTGAAATTTGGAAACTGTTTTATTACTAAGACAACAAATATAAAAATTATTGTATTTCTAATACAAAGAGACATTCATAAGTCGTTGATCGAATATCTATTATAGGATCATAAGAATGTTTGCTTGAATGTTTAAACATGGTATTAGATATTTGATACTTCTCTGATTTTGTGTGCACAAGAATGAGATTTTAAAGCTTTAACTCTAAAAGCTCATAAAACTCTAAAAGTACTAAAGCTCCAAATTCAATTACAAAACTTTAACTTTTAATCATTTGAGTTATATTTATTTATTTTCTTTCTTAATTGTGTATATCCTATTAATTGTACTTATTTTTTATTTATAGTATCATCAGCATTGAAAAACATTTGTGGAGGTTTAAAGGTTTGATTTGACATAGTGAACGCCTCATGACTAGGTAAGAAATTTTTATAATCTGATAACACATGATTCTGATAGATTACTCGTGACTTTTAAAACTTATTTGTTAACTGGTTCATGATTATTGCTGAAAGACTAAATATTGATATATTCTTCTAGGAGTTCACATATCCCATCCAAGGATTGGATGAATTTAGCAAGGTATAGCAAAGAGTATATTGATGGCATTGAATCATTTCTAGATTTTGCTTACTCTTATGGAGATCCTCATGGAGAGAAAATTCAGTGTCCATGTGTGAAATGTTGTAATATTCTTTGGAACCGAAGGAATGTAGTGTATGATCATCTAATATGCCATGGATTCATTAAAGGCTATACTAGATGGATCAATCACGGGGAATGGGATATCAAGTTGAATGTTGATGATGATATGGATTACTCGTGTGATGATATTGATGGGTTGTTGAATGATCAATTTAGAGATGTTGCACAGGCTGGAGGAGTTTATGATGGTCCAAATGAAGATGCCAAGAAATTCTATAGCTTACTTGAAGAGGCAAACCAAGAATTATATTCTGGTTGTATAGGTTTCTCTAAATTATCATTCACACTTCGCTTATATTTGTTGAAGTGTTTACATGGATGGAGCAATGAATCATTCACTTCTCTTCTAGAGTTATTAAAAGAGGCGATTCCCGAGTTGAACATTCCTCAGTCTTACAATAAAACCAAGTCTATGGTTAAGAATCTTGGTCTGGATTATGATAAAATTGATGCATGTCCAAATGATTGCATGTTGTTCAGGAATGATCATAAGGAAGACGAATTTTGTCACACTTGTGGAGCTTCACGGTATATTCAAGCTCCTAAAGTTGATAGTGAGCTTGAGTCTTCAAAAAAGCAACATCGGGTTTCTGCAAAGACTTTGAGACACTTTCCATTAATTCCTAGACTCAAAAAGGCTACTTATGTGCTCAAAGATGGCAGATTCGTTGAGGTGGCATGAAGAGAAACGTTCTAAAGATGGAAAGTTAAGGCATCCCGCTGATGGTCTAGCATGGAAAGACTTTGATAGGGTGCATCCAGATTTCACACTAGATTGTCGCAATGTGAGACTTGGCTTGTCAAGTGATGGATTCAATCCATTTCGAACCATGAGTATATCACATAGCACATGGCCAGTTATGTTGATGATTTATAATCTGCCGCCTTGGATGTGCATGAAATCTGAATATTCCATACTTTCTTTACTTATACCTGGACCACGATCACCTGGAAATGACATTGATATTTACTTACAACCATTGATAGACGAGTTAAAATTATTATGGGATTCTGGGGTTGAAACATATGATGCTTCCAGAAATGAAACTTTTCAAATGCGGGCAGCTCTTATGTGGACAATCAGTTATTTTCCTGCATATGCTATGTTATCTGGTTGGAGTACAAAAGGCAAGTTTGCTTGCCCTTGCTGTAACTATGGTACTAATTCTCGCTATCTTAAACATAGTCGAAAAATGTGCTATATGGATCATCGTGTTTTTCTACCGATGGATCATCCATGGAGATCAAACAAAAGATCATTCAATGGAAAAACTGAATTTAGGCCTCCTCCAGCTCCTTTAAAGGGAATTGATGTTCTTAATAGCTTACGTGATTTTGAAAATGTGTTTGGGAAAAAGAAAAAGAGATCAAATGATCGCCCATGGAAAAAAGGTCAATTTTTTTTGAATTACCTTACTGGCAGCATAACTTGTTACGTCACAACCTTGATGTAATGCACATAGAGAAGAACATAGTTGATAGCATACTTGGAACTCTTTTGGATATTTCAGGAAAAACAAAGGATCATGCAAAAGCACGGTATGATTTGAAAGATATGGGAATCAGGAAGAACCTTCATCCACAAGATACAGAAGATAGTAAGAGAACAAAGCTTACAAAGGCATGCTTCTCAATGACAAATGGAGAGAAATCCATCTTTTGTGGAGTTTTAAAGACAGCCAAGCTACCTGATGGTAGTGCCTCAAATATATCTAAGTGTGTGCACTTGGATGAAAGAAAGGTGTCTAATTATAAAACCCATGATGCTCATTTCATGTTACATTACTTGCTTCCAATACCAATTAAAAGCATTCTTCCTGATCATGTGGCTATTCCTTTGATTCGTCTAAGTTCCTTCTTCCATCGTTTGTGCCAAAAAGTAATCACATTGGAGGAACTAGATTGCTTAGAAGTAGAGATCATAGAAAGAGTAAATCAGTTGGAGCGAATTTTTCCTCCTTCATTTTTTGATATCATGATTCATTTGCCTATTCATTTGGTGAATGAAGTGAGATTAGGCGGCCCAGTGCAAAATCGATGGATGTATTCCACTGAAAGAGAAATGGGTACATTCAAATCATACATTCGCAATAGGCGTTTTCCAGAAGGTTGCATAGCAGAGACACGAGTGGGAATAGATTGCATGAATTTATTCTCAAAATATCTGCATCGGGGTGTGCATACCAGATTTAATAGGAGAGCGCGAAATAATGATGAATGTGACCCAAGTGACGCAGAACCTGTGAGTTTGTTTTCTAACAATGGAGTTCCTTTAGGAGCAAAGAAAACTGATCCAATCATTTTAGATGACAAGTCACTAAGTCAGGCACATGCATACTTATTGGGAAATTGTGACGATGTTCAAGAATATATTAGGTACCTTAATTTGAATATAGTATTCTTTTTGTATAATTAATTTTTATCTTATTTAATTTATTATTTTAACAAATAAAATAAATGTTTTGTAGAGAGCATGAGCAAGAGGTTAATAATCAGTCACGAAGATCTAAATGGAGAAAAGCAAAGAATCATTGTCAAAACTTCTCTCAATGGTTTGAAACTCGTGCTTTGCAAGAGGATGTGTCTGATTTGATAAAACAATTATCTAGAGGACCAAATTCTGTTGCGAAAAGATATTCTGGGTATCTCATAAATGGATATAGATTCCATGTTAGGCAGCATGATACAAGGCGTAAAACACAAAATAGTGGTGTTACACTAATTTCCTCAACTACAAGCTTTGCAAGTTCAAAGGATAAAAATCCGATTGCTGCAGATTTGACTTATTATGGTAGAATAGTTGATATTGTAGAATTAAACTATTACAGCCATTTTAAGGTTGTTTTATTTAAGTGTGATTGGTATGAGGTTGAAAAAGATGTTTATGGTCTTACTTATGTCTATTTTAACAAGAGATGTTCCCAGGAAGAGCCTTTTGTGCTTGCATCTCAAGTACACCAATGCTTCTATGTGCAAGATCCATATGATCAAGATAAACATTATGTTATGAAGACTGTTCCAAGAGACCTGTTTAACATGGGTGATGAAGTTGAATCTAATCTCCCACAAAGTTATGAAAATGAGCCATCTGAACATTCGAAGGGTCCATCTATACCAAAAGATAATGGTGAAGTACTCTTAACAAGGACTGATTTACCAGAAACAATCATTGATGTGCCTGTGGAGGAATTTGTCAATCAACAACTTGAAGTCGAGTATGAAGAAGAGTTTGAAGATGAGTTCGAAGATGAGTCTGAAAATGAGTATGAAGATGAGTTTTCAGATGCGCTTGAAGACGAGACTGAAAATGAGTATGAAGATGAGTTTGATGATGAAGTCGAGTCTGAAGAAGACACACCATGAGTTTCATATAGTGCTCACTCACTGTTTTTTTTTGTAATATAATAGTTTTGTTGTGATGATCATATAGTGCTCACTCACTGTTTTTTTTTGTAATATTAATAGTTTTTTTTGGTAAAACTACATTAATATATCTAATCTGTAGAATGTAATATGTTGCCTTCTTATCTGATTATTATTTTATTGAGGAACCTATACTTCTAGATGATTTTTGCTTGATTTGGTTGTTTGTTATTAATATACTTTCTGGTTTCATTTTATTATCAGGCAGTTGGCATTAGAGGCATTCAACTCTGTAGTTTGAAGTTGCTTCTGATTTGGTCGTTGTCCGGAGTTTGTCGCTCCGAGAGAGGTACAACTCTTTACCTTTTATTAATTTAAGTAATAAGAAGCTCTCCAGTTTTTAAACAGTCGCGTCTGCAGTTTTTTGAAATATCTTGTTTCATATGTTATCAATTTTTTCTGTTTGTTCATGTAGTTCTTCCAATTTCAATCCGTCCTGTTTTACTGTGGTATTCAGTTACATAGTGATATTAAGTTACACTCCTCAGTCCCTATTCATTCTGCTTTATTAGAGCCCATTTCTTTACAATATTGAGTTATGCCTTACAAAAAATTCACTAAATCCCACATGCACATTGTTAGCTAAGTCTATAAGCAGACTAATGAGTCTTATGACAAATACCAAATTTAATTAAATTGTATCAACAATTATGCTTTATATCAGTTAGTTGGTATTGCATATATGAATCCTTTATATGAGAGATCCTGACTCTGTGTGTATGATTTTATGTCTACTTCCTCTTTTAGCTACCTTTACTCATTATAGTGTTGCACCTAGATTGTTGTACGTATGTGTGTTTGACTTATTATGTGATTTAAAATGTGTTCTGTAATTACATTACTGTTTTGTATAAGTTCTACAATATTATACAGTACTTTAATGTATAAATTCAGGAAATTTTGGAAGTTCTGGATATTAGAGAAATTCTGAAAATTTTAGAAACTAAAATGTTGCAATCTACTATAAGAAGCTATCCATCTGTGAACCTTATATCAAAATTACATTGCTGCTACTTCTTTCACTTAAACAATCTTATTATTTTGTAGGTTTACTTACTATTGGGAAACAAATTGAAGAGATTTAAACAAAGCAAAAACAATGAATCAATCAACAATGCTAAAGAAAAAGGGTTTAAATCCAAACAAAGGTCAAAGTCCATTGAATAATCTGGATGTTGATATGCAATACCGATAAAGTGCTGAATTGGCCAACAAATTCAAGATTAAGAGAGAACAACTTGCAAATGAACGCAATGATAAAGCTAAGAAAGAGCAGGCACTAATATCACATAAAAGAAAGAATTTTGAGGATTTCATTCCACAACAAGGAAAGAGTAAATTGCTTGGGAACAAATCAGTCATTCAATCATCTTCAAGGTTCCATACGTCATTGAAGAAAGATGTTACTGCTTCAGCACATAAGACTGGAACAACACTTGGTAATGGAGAGGCACGACATGATATTCTTGATCTACCGAATTGCAAACAGGTAAAGAGGAAGCCGGTCATACCAGCTAGTACTCTTGATCAGTTTCTAAAAGATCAAGGGATACACAAAGATGATGAAACAAAACGTGACAACAACACAACAAGTGATGTCGAATTTATGCATACTCCTACTATTAATGAACATAACAAAGGATTGGATGATCGTGTGGAACAAGAAGAATTCAGTAAAGATAAATGTGATGTCGAAAAGGAAATTGACATGGATTGTAGTACAAAAGGTATGTTTTAAACCTTGTATGATTTAGAACTCATTATAAAAGAAATATCTTATTTCACGTCTGTTAAATCAATCTAGAAATGTCGAAGCCAAAAAAAGTTCAAGGACATACAACATGTAAGGATATTCATGCAAGAAATTTGGAAGAAAGAAAGGAGGTTACATTTGATAAAGGACAAGCGGTGGGACCAACTAATAAGATAGTTTCACAATTAAGCAACTTTATAGGAACAATTGCAAGGAATCCTAGATTCATCAGCTTGATGTACACTAGTTGGCATGTGGTGCCAAAGGATACTAAAAAGCGCATGTGGGAATACGTCAATGTAAGAACTACCACTCATGAGAATTCATATTTTTTTTACTTACTGAAACTAAATATATTTTATATTGCATAGTCCAAATTTCTACTTCCAGTAGAAGGAAAGAAGTGGGTGATGACTGGTCTTCGTGATGCTTGGAGGCGACACAAGCAAAAAATTAAAAAGAATTTTTTTGATAAAGACAGTACCCTTGAGGATATGCTAGCAAAATGTCCTGATGGCATTCCACATCATCAATTCCGCCAGTTGATCGAGTATTGGAAACACCCAACTGTTCAAGTAAGGTTAAAATGGTGCATTTCCACTCATCGACTAATTCTGTGTCATATCTTTTCTTTTTATAGATATCAATTCAATTATCTCTTTGTTTTTAACAATAGGCTATATGCGAGATGAATTCTCAAAACAGGAAAAAACAAAAGTGGAGGCATCGAATGAGACCTATTAATTTTGCTAGAGTACGCGTGGCATTGGTAATACTTAGCTGACATTTCATACAAAATTTGATTTTCATTTTTTTTGTACTTTATAAGAACTTACTGATTTTTTAAAATTTCTTTTGATATAATCTATAGCGTGCAGCCAAAGACAACAACGAAGAACCATCAAAGCCTGAAATATTTATTGCAACTCGTACCAAGACGGGAAAGGAAATCCAGGCTGATACCCAAGTTGCAATAGTAAGTTTTTCAAAGAGGATTATTAGTGAACTTTATTCAGATTTAACATTTATATCGTGGGGAGTTTGACTACATTAAATTTTAATCATGTATGCCTTCTTCTTCTTCTTCTTGTGCAAGTTCAAGGAGATATCAATTATTTGTCGACATTGTTTAATTATTTTTTACGAAAAGTTTTCATAATGTTTTAATGCTTGATACTACTTACAATTCACTATGGATGCCAATTTTATTCAATAGGCTGAACTTCAAAGTCGCCAAAATTCTGGGGAAACAGCTGATGATGCATTTAGGGCAGTGTTTGGAAAGGAGCAGCCTGGTCGAGTTAGGTGCTATGGTAGATCAGTGACAACAAGTTTTTTGAAGAAAGATGAGGAAATTAACAATCTAAAACAAAAGCATGCCGATGAAATCACTTCTCTAAAGGAAGAATTGAGAGAAGAAATGCGACATTTATTCACTCATTTGCTGCAAAACAACCCTGGATTGAATTTTCAAGATATACCCGGGTGTGTTGGATCTAACCTTGCTTCACCTATTGATGCAAGTAGTGCACAAGCTGTAAAAGGCACAAATCTTCCATATTCTTCGGGGTCAGCTCAAGATTCGGTTCATCAAAAGGTATTTTATATTTCAAATTCTCTATTAATAGTGTCAATATTGTTTTTCTTCTAGTTTAGTTGGTGTTATTTGTAATGAAATTCAAAACTTATTTTTACTTGTCTAAGTTTAGTCCACCTATTTATAGCTGTTAAGAATGTTTTTGTTTTTGGTTTAAGCATTCGAATCGTTAGTTGAATAATTGTTCTATTAGTATTGTGCAATTGAGGAGTCTGTGGCTAACACATTATGTTTTATGGAATATTCCAATGGTGTTCAATTAAAAAAATGATGACACTATTGTCTACCTTTAGCTTCTGAATCCAGCTCATTGTAAAGGCTATTGTAGCTGGTCTTTTAATGGTCTGTCTGCACCTTTATGAAGCTATTGCTATTTTATTCATATTGGTGTCTATTAGCTAGGTGGTTGTGGCTGTTAGTATTAATGTGGTGCAGCCTGTGATCTTGTGGGTAGATTTATTATGTTTGATAGATCCTTAATGGTTACTTGTTAAACTACAGACAAGGCAGAGAAAATTGGAGAGGAAAATCTGCAGGGGTTTTTCTTGCTACTGGTCCTCTATTTTTTGTTCATTGTCTGTTTAATCTTTAACTTGTTCAAGATTTTGTTTGTGTCTTTTTATAGCATTCCTTCTCTTCTTACTAAACATTTCTCTTGTCTGTATTTTTTGTTCACTGTCTGATGATGAACCTTGCCCTAGAGATACAGTCTGATGATGTTTGTGTCTTTTTTGTATGTACTAGAGATGCAGTATGATGATGAACCTTGGCCTATGCTGCAGTTCTTTGAAAATATCATGTTCATGTTGTTATGTATTGATTTTTGTGGACACTTTCTAGAGTATGTTATGAACCTTGTTTCTAGTGGTCATCACTGGTTTGTTTGAACTACTTGTGTGTAATTTTTTACATTGAAGTTTACAACAAAAGACTGCATAAATTAAACTTTTGAAGTTTAATTTTTGAGAGCCAACAACAGAAGACTGCACAAATGTTGTAGTCCTTATAATGTGTAATTTTTACATTGAAATTGTATTTAGATTTTGATTGGTTGTCTTGCAGTGAATTCTCTATGATTATGCACTTCCACAATTAATTCACAAACTTATAATTTATTTAAATGTGCAGGAAAATGTAGGTAACTAAATTTGAATTTGGCCAGAAGTAAACTCGATCCATTGTGGCAAAAGATGAAGAAATTTTTGTATTGTTGTCATATACGTTTGAATGACACTTTTGGGTTTTTGGAACTTGTTGATATTAGAGATCTTTAAGCAATCACTTTCTATGTTTTGGTTGTACATGAAATATTTCTCGAAGTTTATTTGAAATATCTCTTCAATTTAATGCTTAATTAGTTCATTTTTGTGTTTTAGGTCACTTGTATGTATGTAAATATATTATATATATTTATGCTACATGTAGGCTTATAAATGTTTAAGTTACACTTTGTAGTGTTGCTCTAGGTAGATAAAATGTTACACTTTGAAAGTGTTGCTCTAGGTAGATATAAAGTTACACTTTGTAAGTGTTGCTGTAGGTGAGATATAAAATCAACACTTTATAAGTGTTGCTATAGATGAGATATAAAGTTACAATTAATAAGTGTTGCTATAGATGACATATAAAGTAACACCTTATAAGTGTTGCAATAGATGAGATATAAAGTTACACTTTATAAATGTTGCAATAGATGACCAATAAAAGGTAACACTTTTTAAGTGTGACCAATTAATCTAAAAAGGCAACGCTTTTAAGTGTAGTCTAACAAAAAATAGGTGTTGCTAATGCACGTCTTCAAAGCGTGCCTTTATACCTATTTGGCTACGCTTTATAAGTGTTGCCAAAGGTGGCAACATTTAAAAAGTGTTGCCTAATGTCAAAGGTTACGCTTCTTTTAGGCAGCCCCTAAAAAGTGTTGCTGAATGTCCAAAAGTGTAGTCTTTTATCAAAGGCCACACTTTATGCTAGTTTAGGCTACACTTACGTGGTGTTGCTGTAGGCCGAAAATTGGTGTAGTGTTATTCAAGAACTTAGTTAAACTTACGACATTCATAATCATAACATAGTGAAATACTCAATATCATAATCAAGAACAACTCCTCAAATCATGTACAAGATCAATGCATAATGTAGGGTATAGGAAAGAGTCATTTAAGAGTTTGTGTGGAATAGAACCTAGAAAATACTTACTTTTCATTGAAAAGCATTAATCTAGGGTTAGGAAGAAAATCCATTTCGTAGAGTAAAAAGCCTAGTATTTGAAGTTCTTGAAAACTTATCTTTGAAAGGAACTCTTGGGGAAAGGATGCTAAGAGTGAAAAACCTATACCTTATTGATGAAGAATCCACAAAATTTTGATGAAAAACTTGAAGTCTTCGTCTTCTTCCTTAAGCTTTTTTTGTTCTTCAATGGCATTTGGAAAAGAGAGCGTCCTTGACAGAGATGAGAGAACTTATTTGATCTTATTTAGGACATGTAAAAGTTGTCTAAAACTGACCTATTATAAATATATAGTCTTCCTATGAATTACCAAAAATACCCTCCACTTAAATGAGTTTTTTAAATAAGTAAAATAACCAAAAATACGACTTAAACAATTCTAGGAAGTAGTTGCGCGTTGCGGGCCAAGTCATGTCTTTTTTATTAAATTTTGAGTTGAGGCCGTGAGGTGCGTGGCATCCTCGCGTTTCAAGGTTGACTCTCAAATCTTGAGGCTGAACACCTTGTGTTCACCTCGCATCGCGCACCACACCTCCATATTTTACCTAATAGCAGCCTGCCAGGCAGCCTGCACACCCAGGTTTGGGTCCTCCTGAAGGACCTCTTTGAGTGGTCCTTGGGATGTCGTTACGGGACATTTGGAACCTTTGTACTAAACATACTACCTATACAAGGTCACTTTAGAAGTTTTGGACTTCATTTGACACTTCAAAACATTCACCAAACATAGGGACGTCAACTAGTTCGAATTAGCTAGTTTCCCGACGTGAAGGTCTTTCTTAGTCATTTTGGATCTAACCTTTGGGAAATGAGTTTATTACATTAATATAGGTATTTAAACGTCATTTTAAGATTTTTTTAATATATGAATCTCTAGTCTAATTCATGACATTTCTTGTGTGTTACACTACCATCCAGTATTCAGATGGCCCCTTATGAAGAACTGAATGGGCTTAGATGTAGATCTCGTTTGTTGGTTTGAACTAGGTGAAGCAACTTTAATAGGTATAGATTAAGTACTTTATGCTATGGAGAAAGTGAAATTAATTAGAGATAGACTTAATACAGCCAGAGTCGTCAGAAATCTTACGCAGATGTAAGGAGACGGGAACTAGAGTTCCAAGTTGATCATTACGTACTTCTGAAAGTATTACCTATGAAAAGAGTGATGATATTTGGTAAGAAAGGGAAATTCAGTCCTAGATATGTAGACCCTTACAATATCTTGAAAAGGGTTAGCAAGGTGGCATATAAGTTAGAGTTGCCAGCAAATTTAGCAGCAGTGCATCCGGTCTTCCACATCTTACTCTTGAAGAACAGTGTGGGTGATCCACCCTCTGTAGTGCAATTAGAGAATGTGGTGGTAAAAAATAGTCTTTCTTATGAGGACGTACCAGTTGAGATTCTTGGATGTCATGTTAGAACGTTCTAAAATAAAGAAGCCGCTTTATTAAAGATTTTGTGGAGGAGTTAGTCTATAGAGGGAGCTACTTAGGAAGCAGAAGCAGCCATGAAAGCCAAGTATCCTCACCTCTTTCCTCCGATTCCACTCTAGCTTGAGGTAATTGTTCCTCTTTAATTTTTCAGTCATTCATGCATGAATTCAACTTTAGAATCATGTTCCCTCGGTTTATACTTGCATTTTTCACGTATTTTCATTTTCTCGAAACTCAATTCAGTCAGAAACTCAGTTCTCAATGTTTAGTTGTAGGGATTGCAGTTCTCTCCCTCTATTTTAGCTAGTTTAGTCTTTATTTGAGGACGAATATTCACAAAGGGTTGATAATGTAATACCATGTATAAAAAACAGGCTAAATCATCTTTTCAAAAATTTGCGGGTTCAATCGATGGATTGAATCCTACCCACTGCTCGTGCTGCAAATCTGTCGATTATGATTGAAATTGCCCCAAGACATAGCTCAGAAAATATAACTTAGTGTTGAATGACGGCCGCACCTACAGTCCATAGGTCAAACTACAGTTCGTACTCTATATCCGTTGATCAAGACCCCATTTATCAACTCTCTGAAAAGAACCATGATTGACCATCACGGTCCGTAGATGGACCTATGGACCATAGGTATGAGCGTTTGTGGAAATTAGCAGAGCGATAGGGAGAAAATGTAGTTGGGTCAACTTCAAAAGTTCATAACTCTAAGTACAAAATGAATTAGGTGTCCCATTACCTATGAAACGATAGGTAATTTAATTAGCTTTCCATAGCCATAGAGTTTGCTAAAATCACACCTTCGAGTAAAAAGGTATTCCCTTTTTGGTAAAGATTTATCGAACAGACCCAAACTACATACCCAAACACCGAAACATCAATTTAAAGACGACCCATCAATCCAGGTCGTTGTTTGGTCCGACAACAGTTAACTCAAGGGTCTTTCGGGTTTTTTCCACTTTGTTTAAACCCTAAGATATGTTGTTTTAACCATAAATCATCATATTTTATTTATTTTAAGCCTAGAAATATGACTAAAAATTACCTAAGTCAAATCATTAATAAAAAACATAGAAAATTAGAAACAAAAAAGGAGAAAAAGGTCAAGAACCCTAGTTCAAGAATGCAACAAGGTTCCAGCAGTTCTAACCCTGAAATCTAAATATTTCTCCGTGAATTTCATCACCAGGTATGTGGGATTTCACTAGTGGGTTCCTTTCATCCATTGGGTCCCTAGTTTTCAGTCAAACTCTTGATTCTTATATCATGATTAAACCTAGGGTTTTTAGAACTTCAACAGAACATCTTGAATTAATTAGTTATACATTCCAAATAAGATTTCCATGTTATTATTAGGTTTATCGCATAAATTTTAGAACCCTAGCTGCCACGCCCCGAGCTACCCCCCGAGACGTGGACACGGATCATAGGACCACAAGTAATCCCAAGCTAACCATGTCGGCATAATCATGAGCATACTAAAGATAATAAACTGTTGTGGAAGATAAATCATAGTTAAAATGAAAAGATGAAGAATACCCATATTCTAAAACTG